CTACAGAATGTGCTGGGAAGCCAAATCATGAGAACCAGACAGCTGGTTGTTGTGCCTCACTGGTTCATTGTCATGCATCGGATGCATACAGGTTACGGATTGCTGGTTATCTGCCTTCAGAGAGCAGGTACAAGGAGAAGGACATCTTGCTGGAAAACTGTTCACTTGACTTTCAGTCAAGAGGGTGCTGGCTGAGGTGTTAGGGATACAGACTCTAAATTGGAGTGACTAGCTTTTTTCTTTTTCCTGAAAGGGCAAGGTGGTAAATACCTTATGGTCTGTGGGATTTACACTCTCTGTTGTGACTACTCAACTCTGCTTTTGGAGCATGGAAGCACACACAAATTAATGGGTGTGGTTATGTTTCAATAAAACTTTATTTACTTGAAGTATGTGTGAGAAAATCTGCACATGTATGGGGTCATATGTGTGTAGGCCCTAGGCAGACCTTAGAAGTCATTCCTCAGGAGCCATTTATCTTATATTTTGAGACTCTTCTCTCTCATTAGTTTGGAGCTTGAGGATTAGGCTAGCCTATCTGGCCAGAAAAACCTCAGGAATTAACTTATTTCCACTTCTCCAGATCCAGGATTATAAACATGTCTAGCCTTTTACATGGGTGTAGGGGAATTGAACTCAGGTCCTCATGATTCCATGGCAGTCACTTTGCCAACTGAACTATCTCCCCAGCCCTCAACAAAACTTGCTTATAAGAACAGGAGATAACTTATCAACCTTTGTTCTATATTCCTGAAAATGTACCATTGCTGTATAACTGACTTCAGAGGAGGAATATTTAGGATATCCAGATAGCTCTGTTGAAGTGTTTATTATGTTTTTCATAGCCAGGAGTCTGCTATATGTGTGTATAATTAATTTGTTGTCAGAAATAAAAAAGTGCTACTTCCTTTGGGGGGGTGACATAATCCAGATAGTGTTGTTAATTACCTTTACTCCCTTCCTCCCTGAATCATCTGAAGTAGCTTATGATAAAGTTATATGTAGGGCTGAATGCGACTTGACGGTAGAACGCATATTTAACTTACATGAAGCCTTAGTGCCCCCCCCCAAAAAAAAAGAAAAAGAAAGAAACAGAAAATTGAATGACATTTATGGGTTTGGGCTATCTATCCAATCTTGCCATTTATTACCCACCTGCCAGCTCAGTCTGGTAACAGGGCCATTTCTGAGGCTCTTCATCCTTGGGGCACTTCCTAGGTTGATTATTGGTGTGTCTCCCATCTTATCTTCACAAGCATAATTTCCTTTTGGAAAAAAAAAAAATGTCCCAATGTGTTACATCGTCTCCCCCTGAAGGAAGTGTTAGTGTTCGTCATTTTCTTTTGACTGAAGTATAGCCAAGAACCATTCCACTAACTAAGTGGGTGTAAAGGAAGGAAAGAAATCATAAGCTAATGAAAACTCTGGTAGACAAGTGACTATTCAAAATTCACTCCGAGGTTCATAGGACTAACATTACATTAACCAAGGGAACTGTTTCCTGTTTCCTCAAAGACACATCTCTGCTCTACAGGCAAAGAGCAAAGGGGATTTTATCACTTCAGTGAGGTAGTTGAAAGTGCTCCTTGAGAGGGGCAGAAGAGGCAGGATTTCAGCAGGAAAAGCTGGCCATCAGTGGGCGTCAGAATATGACAATAAGGCCAACTGATTGGAAACTCTGCCCATAGAATCGTTCATCTCAGGATAGTTTGTCTTGATTACCATTCCTAGAGCCTTCATCCAGTTGCTGTTCGAAGCAGAAACAGGCACCCACAGCTAAGCACTGAACCATACCTGGAATCCAGTTGTGGAGAGGGAGGAGGGATGAGCAAAGAAGCCAAGATGGTGCTGCAGAAACCCGCAGAAACAGTTGACCTGACCTAGTAAGAGCATGGAGATCCTAGTCATAAAGCTGGGGAAACAGCATTGGACCAGACCAAGCCCTCTGAATGTGGGTGCCAGCTAGGAGGCCAAGACAGTCTATGGGACCTCTACCAGTGGAGCCAGTCTTTAACCCTAGAGCACAAATGGACTTTGGGAGCCCATTCCCTGTGAAGGGATACTGTTGCAACCCAGATACAGCAAGGAGGGCCTAGGCCTTCCCACAAATGATATGACAGACTTTGAAGGTCCCTGGTAGAGAGCCTCACTATCCCTGGGGGTGAGTTGGAGGATGGGTTGCGGGGGTTAGTGGGGAATTTGGGAGGGTGGGAGGAAGAGGTCGAGGGAATGGGGGGATGGATATGTAAATATGAGTAGTAATTAAAGAATTTAAATTAAGAAAAAACTAAAGATGCACAAAGAAACCTGACAAAACTCCACTTGCTTGTAAAGTAATTAAAATATAATACGAAATAGGAATTGAACAGAACTATTATGCATGGGTGAAGAATAATACTCTCAGAAGACATAGGTTATTAAATGAAAATCTCAGTGTCCGGTATGGATTACCTTCCTATGAGTTACTGGTCAAGGAAGCACCAGAGGCACCCAAACCAATAAGTGTTTTCTAGTATTGTTGGTTAACCACAATTACTCATAGTCAGACAACATTGCTGTAACGATCAACATTTTTGCAGACCCATCTAATTTTTTATTCAATATCAGTATGAACAAACGTTATTTTACTTTGTATATAGTATAGAGGAATGCATAACAATGCAATGTAATGTAATAAATGTAATATATGATAAATCATGATTTATTTTATTGCTTCAGTTGTTTTAATTCTAGCAATTGCCAACTTTTTGAGTTACTTCCTGTGTACATTTGACACATTCCTATTATTGCAAGGAATGCTTTCCTTTCCACACATTCTTTCTTAGATCATTCTGTGATGCCATAAGTCATCTTGTATATTCAGTGGACCAGTCCTGTTAGGAGTTCTTGCTTCTATTGTAGGAGAATAATGTTTATAAGCATTATCTGCATGTATATGGTGACTGGCTGTACCTACTTCTCAACTGTCAACTGACAGAAAGCAAACATCTATGTATGTACTCTTCTGCCAATATGTACTTGCCTGCAAATATCCATGTGTTCAGACTCATGTATTTGTGGTTCTTTGAAAATAATTATTTACTTTTAAAGTTAAAAAAAAGATAGTTTTCCTACAGACCTGTTCCCTATTTCACAACTATGAGTGTGTTTAAATGACTTTCATATGCGATCTTATCTATGATCAGATCTAAGTCAGATCCCTGGCAATCCGGAGGTATGTGGTTGACATACTCAAGAAGACTCAAGTAGGTAGCAAATGCCACTGTAGGCCTCATAGATACTTGGCAAGGATTCATTCAAACAGAAGCAGCCCAGTTACATGTTAGTTGGATATCACAGGCATTTTGGGTTACTTGCATGACAAAAGGTAAGCTATAAATAGAAGTTGATTCCATGCTGGACAAGAGATAAATATAATGAAGTCTGCAATTAGAAGAGAAAGTCTTGTGTAACTATTCTGAAAAACCCTTAATCAGTTCTGTACGTTTAGAATATGTCTAACCTAAATGGAGGAAAAAGCATCTCAAGAGCGCCCTTCTCAAGCTGTGGTCTTAATTCACTCCTGGTGCAATGGCAAATTGGAAGGAACAGTGTAGGGCAGGGTGCAAGTTGACCATATCAAGGCCATAAGTATGCATACAATTTGATCTTGAAACTGGACATGCACAATTTATTTCTTAAAATAATACGAACTTTCAGGCTTATAGAAATGTTTGTGTAAAGATTGCTATTGTATCAAAACTTGATTGTAGCTTGATATAGTAGGATATACCTTCAGTCCCATCACTCAGGAGGCTAGAACAGTAGGATAGCAAATTCCAGTCCAGTCTTGGGTATGTAGTGATGCCCTGTCTAAAAAATAAATAAATAAAATAAGCAAACAGAAAAACTGATTTGCAGAAAATGTTTGGATTTCAGAGCTCTAACAGGTGAATGAGAATCTGTACACACAAGTATGGAAGTTTGGCAAGGATGGAGTATGAAATGGAAAGCAAATGTCACAACAATCTAGAACAGCCCCCTACCTTTGATAGTAATAACTCGATATCCGTATGTGTCTTGTATGTACACATGCTTGCGCACAAAATTGATATGGAACCATATAAGCATGCAGTGGCAAACAAACAAGCTTCTTTTCAAGCTGAGCATGATGGGAGAACCCCATAATTATCCTTGTCACAGAGCCTGGGGAGCAGGCTTGAGACCTTGAGTAAGGTCTGGGTTTAGCTTCAGAAGAGAACCTCGTTATAAGTAAAGGGCTTGTCTTTTCGTAGCTGCCTGTGAGGCTTGTGATGGCTCCATGCTTCCCTGCCTCAAGTATGTCACTGATTCATTAAGCCATTATTTGTTGAATATGTACTGTGTACAGGATACATCATGCTGGGTACTGGGGCTGCAGAATTGTTTCATAATTAAGGTTCCCTAACAACTGCAGACTCAAGCAGACAGACTCTAAGATGTGCCAGGCAGCCTGGTTCAGCAGCAATGTCACTTGAGTAGATTCTAGTGCCTAAGGATCAGTTTATAGCATTTAAAAGGAGTTGAAAGTACCCCAAATATGTGTTGAGATTTCTTTATCTTCACTCTAGTTCCTAGGTGTGTACTTGGAAATAGTTTGTGATGATAATTAGCTTTAGTTACAAAAATCTTCTACGACAGTGGTTCTAAACCTATGGGTCATGACCCCTTTGGCAAACTCTTCTAAACCCCAAAATTCTTTACATTACTATTCATAACTGAAGTAGCATCAAAAATAATTTTATGGTTAGGGGTCACCACCTGAGGAACTAATTAAAGGACACACACTAGGAAAGTTGAGGACACTGTTCTAGGAAGAGATAGCCTGCCCACTACATGACAGTTGACCTATATAACTATCAGTTGACTCATGTCCACTTTTACCAAGCAACAGTGTATCTATAAATGATAAAAAAATAATGCGCACACACATATATTTTTGCTACCTGTCAACTCAAATATTTGTGATTTTTCTTCCACAGAAAAAGCAAAGGACAAAAGATCTCTCTCGGGTGTTTCATTCCTACAATCCATATGATCACAAGGTAAGAGAAGCATGTGAGTAGTGTGTTTGGGATTTACACCAATTCCTGTTCTAAGTATGAAACAAGTAAGGGGAGTGCTTGGCTGTGATTCCTCCAGACCTAGATCATTCTAAATGGATAGCACAGATTTCACTAGTATGTGATGATTTTGGAATGCATGACCAGTTACACTTATATTTCTATTTTAAAATGTCTTATAAATTAAACAAAATTTCTGTTTCTGAAATGAATTGCTTACATTTTTTTCGAATTAGAATGTAGTTGCAGGGGCCAGAGCTGTTGCTCTTGGAAGAGCCCTTACCCAGCATGCAAGAAGCCCTGGGCTCCTTCCCCAGCACAGCCCCAAGCCAAGTCCAGTGATACACTATCAGTGAAGTGTCAGATCGCATAGACAGTTCAGGTCTATGCTCTCTGGAGATGGAGGTGGCGATTACTATTTTAGTTGATTGATGTTTTCTTTTGAAATACTATGGTGAGTGAGCCAGGCTTTAGAATGGGGAGAGACAGTTGAAACCTTCACTGTCAAATCTTGATTCTCCATTGTTCTGATACTTGCTATGTATCAAATGTGTAAAAGCAGCAGCACATGGCCTGATTTCTGAAATGCCATTTCCAAGACTAGCAAGGCAGAAGCCCGAGATGTAAGGGCTCCTGTGCTCCCTGCTGCTACTTCAGAAAGATCCATAGCCATTCCTGTTCAGTTCATGTTCAAACTTTCCACCACTTACATTTGAAGAACTTTGGGTGTGTTTTTACCTATAAGCATTTCACCACATATTTGTAAAAGATAAGACTCCTTTAAAAAAGTACAAAAATCAGTGGTTGGAGAGATGCCTTGGTAATTAAGAGCTTTGGTTGCTCTTCTAGAGGACTCTGGTTCAATTCCCAGTGCCCACATAGTGACTCACAACTATCTGTATCTCCTATCTCAGGTCATCCAGAGCCCTCATCTAGCCTCTACAGGCACTCTACAGGCACTAATACATGTCGTGTACAAACATACATTGAGTTAGAATGCTCATACACATAAAATGAAAAGTATCTTTTTTAATACAAAATTTATATGTTTGGGACCAATATTAGAACTCCTTGTACTCTACATCTTCATGGAGGACCATATCACAGGTTTTCTGAGGCTTGTATAAAAAGTCTATGCCCAGAAATATTCCAATAACTCTATTAATTTGGGGTGATTTGAAAAGGAAGTAAACAAACAAATCACACAGTTGAAATGCTACTATAAATTTGAGTCTTTACCTATGAACTTGCAGGCAGATGCAGTGGGAAGTTTTTCAACCAGCCAAAATAACTAATGTAAAAAGCCATTCTTCGGTTGAGAATAGAGAGATGTCTGGACTCAAGAGACAAAATGAATGTGCCAGCAGTTGAGGGAACTTCAAAGAACTAGTGTGTAACAAGGGACTAATTGACTTTAGCACCAGAAAATTTTAACGGACGTGATTATGCTTTGTGGAGATGTGTGATACTAAAAATTATCATTTCAGAGTAATGTTTTCCAACCTCAGTTAGTTAATTTGCAGAAAGGAAGGATTGGTTGAAAAGAGACCAGGAGCCATTGACATCTGGAAGTGCAGTGAGAAGGTGACGTAATAGTCATGTGACAGCCCTGGTCCAAGATAAGCCAGACTGCATCGGGGAGTGTTGCCCCCTTCCATGAGGCCATTTCATTAGTAAGTGTGTTAATGACTAAAGTTAACGTTTAAGAACAACAAATTTTCAAAAGCTTTGGCAAGTCAAAGGTTTACTTGGGTTGTCTGAATTTTTCCTACTTCCAACATTTTAAAATTCACAGATGAGAGAAATTCTTTTATTCTTTTATAAGAAGTCTTAATGGAGCCTAGCCATCTGTATCTCCTACTGGCTTCCTCTTCATATCCTTTGTGGCATTGTATCAAAGTCACCTCAGATGATTTTGGCTTCATCTTATGAGGACTTCATTCCTCTACAAATTAGTCATTGGCAGTGAAGAATTGAACAGAAATGCAAGATGGAATTCCTTTTGATCTCTGCTCTCAGATTACTAGTAAATTATTATGAGGAGCTAGCCTGCTAGATGAGTGATTTTGAACCCATTAATCTGTTGGCATTCTCTTTTATTCTGTATGTTTGTAGAGAAGGGGAGGGGTATTCTAGGCAGTTCCTGGCCCTTTAGTAACCTCCTCCCACTTCCCAAGCCCTATGCAGGTAAATCTTAACCACACTGCTTTTACTTCGTCGTCGATTGGAATATCCACAAAGACTAGAGCCATAGGAAGACATGATCATGTACTATCTTCTCAATCTGAGACATTGTTTCTCCCCCTACCATAAATAGATAATAGAGAATTGTATTTCATACTACTTTGTCATTTTAATTATCCAGTTCCAGTTAGGCAAATCAGTTTTCTAGGTACATACCTTTGAGTGTAAAATGTTTTACAAGATGTGATTAAAGTTGATTCAAATATCTCATGCTCAATGAGATTTCTGGAGTGATCTTTAGAAAAATATACATGTGTATTGTAAATGAAACCTTATACAAAATAAAATATTGCTTGTCTGGAAACTGCTTTTAAAAAATCCCAAGGAGAGGATACGGTGCATGAAGTAAGCTGGACCATGTGTTGACAATTATGGAACCTGAGTGATGGCTTTGTGGGGGTTCGTTCTTCTGTGTATTTTTCTATATGATTGAAACTTTCCATAATACTAGAGATGGGAGAGTAAAATAAACGTAGGCTAGGTCTGGAAAGTGAATGTACTCATATTCCTCTCTCTCCGGCTATGCTTCCAATGTTCGTTTTTCCCTTGATGTCCTTGTGTGCCGAAGAAGAAAAACTCAGCATTTCAGTGGGTTCATTATGCTGAGTGAGCTCAGAAATGGAGCTGCTATGCCTCAGCTGGCGTCATTTCCTGGGATTTCATCCCAAATTACAGTGGATCAGTGAAATGATAGCCCTGCCTACTGGTAAGTGCTACAACAGTTGTCATTACAAAGAGTAGTTAGTGTTCCAGCGGGTCTCAGTGAGTCAGGTGTGTTTGCTCTCCTGTCACCCTCCCCCCTTCACCACAGCCAGGCTGCTCCTGCCTAAGCCCAGACATAGGAAAGTCACCAGGTTAAACAAACACGCTGTTTCAGTGAGACTCGGCTCATTTCTTAATCACACCCTAAAGCTTTTGTGTAGGTGGTAAATGGTCAGTCACTCAGTTTACTCTTAAATGCTATTGCAAAAAGCAAACAAAGCTGAACAGCAAAGTGTGTGCCTAAATAGATGTTGGGAAACATTTATTAATGTGAAAATGTAACGAGGGCCCTGGAGAACTTCATTTTGGACCCTTGTCTCTCCATTTAAAAAAAAAAAATGTTGTCAAGAATGTTTGCAATAATAAGAACATTTAAGTGGATTTGACCAATGCATATTCTCTTTTATCTGTTCTAAGTGAAGGAAACATCAGGAAAGGCAGCCCAACATAGCAAGGAATCTGATTATGTATTTTATCTGTTTTTGCCCTCTGGTATTTTAATAACTAAAGCTTATGGTTTCTGAAAACAGTATACTAACTATTAGGAGAAAGTTCCCACCTGCAGGCCTTGCAGGGCACACAGTACCAATCCAGAACTGACTTTTTCCTTCTTGTAAGTCACAGGTAAGTTAGGGCAGGCTACAATTAGAATATTCCTAATTAAATGCATGTCAATTAACATGTGCAGTAGACTGCACATGTTTCACCCTGAAGAAAATATAATGCACATAAAAGATGCATCTCTTTTTCTCTTTGCCTTTCTTTTTCTTGATCGATTTTATTGGAATTTATGTGTCCAAGGGAAATCTAGGTTTATTAGTTAAACACAGATGTTTATAATCTGCTAATGTAAAAAAGTCACTATAAAATATGAAACCACTTTGAAGGAAAAAGTTAGAAAGCTTGGTGCAGGTCTGTAGTGGCTTTTACCATCTGCAAAGTTGAGTACATTCTAAATCAGTTCATCACAGTGGGTTAATCTGTTCTCCACTAATAGCATGTCTAATGTGTTGTTGCTGTAGTACTTTCTAGGATTTGCAAGGCACATCTTGTCTTTTCTTTAGCAGAAAGTTGGGTTAAGAATTTTTTTATACAGGTAGACATAAGCTAATGGCCATGCTTCAGGAAAAAAATTATTATATATCATCTGCATTTGTTGAAGTGGGTTTTTTCTTTGTCTTTTAATGATGGCTATTAATTTATATTTCAACAAATTGCAAATAAATTCATGTGTCTCAGAAAATAGCCGTGTGTGAATGCACTTAACAACTTCACCTCTCAGTAGAAGAGAGGTGAACATCAGCCCAAGATCTTGCTTCTTCACTGATCAGACTAACTTAAAACATAGCTCAGAATTGGCAGGAGAACCATCCTGGCCCAGACTGCTCAGAGGACTGTTGAAATCCACCACCACCCCACCTCATTTTATCTTCGGTCCCTCATCCACCAACAGTCTGTTCTTTGGTTTAAATCCACCCTAACCAATATACATGTCTCCTTGCCCGAACCACTAAGTCAACCCCAACAGCAACTTAGAAAAAGCTAGTTACTGCTTCAATAATCCAGAACTCTAGAAAGAAGTGGCAGCCTACCAAGTAAGAGCAAGAGCGGGCTATAAGGACTAGCACCTGCTAATAGGACCTCTGAAAGTGCAGCTTCCCAGGACCCCAAAACCCAGATACCTAATGCATTTTTAACAACACCAGGGTTAATCATTAGGATCAGTTTGTATCATGAAACACATTTTGTTTGAGAACAATGGAGATGTATATATTTTATTTTTGGAAACATTGGTGTTTTAGTGGTAAAATGTACTTGTCTTAAAAACTTTTAGCAATAGTTCATTCTTAGAAAAGGTTTGAGTAGGTGAGGTATTATCATAAAGAATGCTGAGACACGTGTGAGCTGTTAGATGAGGAACAGCAAACGTGAGCATCGAGCTGAAGTGTCTTGACCAGTATGACCCCACACTAATTATTTATAAATCAGGTCCTGTAAACATATGAACATTTTTTAAATTATTGTGTTTTCATCTTAAAGATTTTTGAGGGCTAGT